ACTTCGTTCGAGAAGGAAAGGCCAACCTGATGACGTTGCTTCCCTGAAGTGTAGCCAGCTTGTCGTCGCTTACAGAGGCACTTGTTACCACGTCGGGCAGTTTGCGAGCTGAGGAGATTCGAGGGTTCACGGCAAATATGTTACCCACCTCGTCAGCATCACAAACAAGAAATTCCGAATTTGAAAGCCATCGAATCTGAACCATCGAGTTTTCGAATTCGGTCTATGCAAAGAATAGGTGAAAGGCAGTGAATCCACGAACACATAGTTAGGTGCTCTCTGGCCCTAACTCCCTAAACAACTACTTAAGGAAGCGGGCGTGATTTTGAAGTCAAAATATGCCAATCCTTTTTGGGAAACCCGATTTTTTCGGGAGAACTACAATTCACTCGGGAATCAGGTAGTCACTGCCAAAAAACTGAGAACATCGCAGACTTACCGCTGTCGTATGGGTGCTGTTCCCATGGGAAAGTGAGGCCAATCGACCTGTACGTGCATCAAGCAAGACAATTGTACCATTCGATAATGACACTACCATTTTTCGACCTCAATATTGTAAATATTAAAATATTAAATCATCAAAAAGAATTGTTGAAAGAAGTTTACCAGATTCGCATACTGAAAATGCCCTCGTCAAACCAGGTAAATTCGAGACCTTCAGCTCGCTGGTCCATCCACCAGTTCGAGTGTCGATAAGGCTGGAAGGGACCACACTCATTTCGAATGCAAAATTTTGTAAGTTTACAACTTTGAAATGTCTGTCAACAAGGATTTCACAATCTCACGAACCGAACTGTCGAATGAAGGCTTGATATGGCAGCCATTGAATGTCTATCAACATGTGATAGACCACAAATCGTCGCATCTCCGTCCCAATCCAGCTGTGTTATAATTGCTCCGCGGAAAGGATCCCATACCTCAAAATTATGATTGATTTAACTCAAAATAATGTTCAAGAAAAGGCTATCTTATTTTACAAATGAAGGAATATAATAATTAACCTTCTTGTGGGACAAAGGCGGAGTTGACATTAGGGGCGGGGTTCCCCAAAGTCAAACCCATCTGCGGGCGGTCTGATAAGGAACAAGTGCAAAAAATGGTGTACATTCGGGAGAAGCACTTACATGAAGGTTTCCATCAGTGGATGCGATAAGATTGTTCGCCAACAGAGTAACATCAAGAATTGGACGTTGATGTCTGTTGTAGGTCCATTGAGCTTCCACGCTGTCATACTCGGGTTTAATCGACCACAGTCTGAATGAGTATGGATTTGATAGGGAAGCTACGCAGTAATGTATCAGTACCTGACAGTTTTATCGGCAGACGCAGAAATGAATGAGTTCTCATTTGAAAGGCTGACGATTCGACGAACAGATGATGAATGACCATTGAAGGTACACAGGGTTAGGTGGTCGAAACGTAGTGATGACCTTAAATATGTGAATATACTCCAGAGTACTAAATATGAGAGGGCATTTTTGAAATGAGTTTCCAAAGAATAATGTTTGAGGCTTGTATTTGAGAGTTGTCCCTTTCCAGCACCTGACCTATACCAAAAGATTACGTTGTGGATTTCAGAATGCGGTCATTTTAATTAACTCTAGCTGATTCCTAGAATGAAAAAGGCGAAGCTGGAATTGGAAGAGGAAATTGGAAAGCAGCCATTCAATACGCATTAACAAAAACGATTAGAAATGACGATGTGTCAGTAGGTTCCAGCAGAGATTTTAATAAAACCGACTCTTAAACAACAAACAAGTGGAATTAAACAAATACAAACACTCACTTTCCTTCTGCAGCACAGACAGCTGCCGATATTCGTGCACACCAAAGTGCACTAAGCGATGTGGACTCACATAACCTAGTATGGAACAGGATGTGATATGATTATAAAAAAAACAAAAAAATATATATAAAATATAAAAATCATCCATGAACATCCGAAATACTCAACGTATGTACAATTCCAAAAAGTAAATCTGTACGAAAAGTTCGAAAGAGTTCGAGTAAGACAAGCGTACCCTACTCCACCGATAGAGGAAAGATTCGAATGAGACGATGGAGACGACAATGAGAGGAGGCGATTTCCTGACGGGAAGCTGTTCAGTTGATATTGCGGCGTTACTCGAAGCGATGACGGCGAAGAGGCAACTGAAATTGCTTTTTAAACTTCATTAACCCTTCTAATGTGCGAGTCAGAATAGGTAGGTAACCTTTTTGAGATTACATTACTGGAGAGGGTGCAAAACAAATGACAAGTAAAAAATAGGTCTGCGTATGAATTAATCAACTGCTTTTGAAGTTCTACTACTATTTATAAAAACAGAAGTAGCATCAAAAAGTGATAAAAATCGATAAACAAGAGACCAATGACTACGAATCGATTTGACCATCTGTGTAATATAGACTTTCCCCAAATGACTGTTTACGTGCGGAAGACGAGGATCATCCAATCTATTTTTCAAAATAAAATAAGGGGAATTGTATTTGAATTGCCACCTTGCGAACTAACGAACGGCACCAGAAAAGCTGGATCTGAACAGAACGACGACAGAAGAGGGACTCCCCATGAACTGGCAAACCGATCTATCACCGACGACACGAACCAAAGCGGTATCGATGCAACAGCCTGAAAGTCCAGTACTTCCCCAATGTATTCGTTCAACAACATCTGAATCACAGAGTCCAACGTCTCATAGTCTACCTTCAATACCATTGCAGTAATGTAAAATTAAGCTGAGTCCAGAGGTAACCGATTTTTGATCATGAGATCGTCAACTATAATGATCAAATTTTTGGCGTTAATCAATACTGTTTGTCCGACAACTTTTGATTGAGTTGNACTCATGTTTCATTCCCAAATAAATCGAGTTCTGATTTATTTTTTAGATTTCCCCAGTGAATTTTGCTTTTTTTTTCTTTATTCATTCCTATAGCATCTCTTGAATCTCTTGTTACCAAGTTTTAGGAGTTTTCAATTAATTACTCACAACTTTACCTAAAACTCGTGGCTTTCTTAAAGAATACAAATCCACGACCAGTAAAATTTACCTATTCAGCATTTTGAAGAGTGGACAGTAATACAGCTATAATAGGAAGTTAGAGTGACTATAACTGATCACTATACCTCATTAGGGTCCAACTTTTTTGGTGATATTTTCAATAGGTCATCGGCCTCGTACAGTTTCCCAAACGCTTCAAACATCAGCTCGAATGGTTTTCTGGCATACAGCCTAGTATTCTCCAAACCGATCCTCATCGAAATATTGTACAGCAGGGACACTACCTAAATATAGGGAGCTATTTCAAAAACTTACTAAGTGGGTAGCATTCAGGTTAGTGAAAACTGACCCCTGCACCAACGATAATTCGTGAGCGATCATCAGAGAACGAACTGTTCGCGTTCAGGACGAGTTGAAGAACTTTGACAATGACCTTATTGACGATGTAGTCCTAAACTATGGAAAATATGTATTTCTTTAGCAGCCACTAGTACCAGGGTGAAGTGTCAGTCCGGAAAAAGCAGTTTTTCTCTCAAATCTGGGTTGGAAAATGTCCAAGGTATGCGTAATCGCCATATATCACAAGAGATANAAATGAAGTGTACCTCTAGGTAATTCATAAGCTGATGATCAGACATCGATTTGGCGCTAAGACGGACAATCCGGAATGCTGCCAATAGCCCGGCTTCAATCGGCTGTGTAAGTCGTCTGGTCGCTTGTTCCACTAGATCGACACAGAATGGCAGATATTGCACCTGAAATAGGACTCTAGTGAGCTTGATGCCGTGTGAGTATTCTGCTTGATTTCAGCCCTGACCGACCGTAATGAACGTGACGCTGTACGTGGCAGCAATCTCAGCCAGGCAGGCCTCCACCCGAGCCCCACATTCGTCGCCAAGCAACGGCAAAGTAAATACCGACTGTAAGAAATATCTCAGTTAACCATTTCTACAAAAATCAATACACAAAACTACCTGTGGTTCCTGACTAGAGCCCATCAGTGTCATACCGGAATAGCATGAACCAAGTACTCTTAGAAGATTTGCTGTGATAAATCGTGCACTAATTACGGGACCATATCTTTTTGATAACCTTAATTACAATATGGAGGTTCCAGATACACGTAGAACTTATATAAACAAATAAAAATTCATACGAACTCTCACAATTGACAATAGGATTCCGTCAACCCCTTTTGACGATTTTTCTGTCTTACTTTTGACACTATGTATTACAAATTTATCAAATAGTCTTCTTTTGATATTTGCGCCCATTCTACAATGGTGCCACTAGATGATTAATATATTGTTCTGGCCTCGTTATCGATTAATAATAAGTAACAGTATAAGTATCTAGTAATAATTGGTAATAATGACATATTAGCAGTAATAACAGTAATAAACAAATAGCTACAATACTTTAAGCAATATAATTAAAATTAAAGAATAGTACCACTGAGAATTGTGGTGCTAATAATGATAGGGACAATAATAACTCAACAACAAAAACGAAACACTACGTAAACAAGCAGTTTCTATGTGTGAAGAAGTAGCAGTAATTGTTGATAACACTTACCAAACAACACTTTCTTTAGCAACGATGCTCCTGTCCACCTGAACTGATGCGACTGCCTCAATCACCGTTGGAAGAAACTCTCTAAGAAACCTCGAGGTGCCGTATGCTATCGATGCCGGTAAAAGGAATCGACGGTCGAGCAACTGAAAAACTGCACGATCTTCATGTATCACAAAGTAGACGTAAGTATTATATCTTACGAAAATCAATTACCACATTATCAATTCTTTTGCTGATTCGTTTTGATGCAGGTATATACTGAATAGCATAGAAAACTCGATGTCGTAAATATTGAGCAAAAACTTCAAAAAAATATACGGGGGAGTGCAGGGAGATGAATTTTTCATATTGAATTCACTCTACGGGATAGCAGAAGCAAAAAAGAGAGAAGCAGAGCATAAAATTGAATGTCTGATGTACGACTCCCCTCCTCTTCTCTCTCTCCCGTTCCCTCGATTTTTGGACGCTTCGAAAAAGGAGACCATGCTAGGGCGGGTGAGCAAAAGGTAGCTGTTACTCTGTTAATCACGAAAAAGGGGTGCATGGGAGTGATGCCTCAGCTAAAAACAAAAGGTAAAACTCAGTTCTTCATGTAAAAAGGCCCACCTTAACAGATGACTCACAACTCAGCAGCTCGACCAAGGGTTTCAGAACTTGCTCAAACGACTGGTCATCAAACGATCGGCAGACGACAATGAATAGGCGATGCACCTTAAATATGTGCCTTATTCACATCTTCTCAAACCAAAACAACTTCCTAATCTCAATTGTGACAACCAAACCAGACAATTCTAAATGGAAAATATCTGACTCTTGAACTGTCTGTACGATTATTTATTCATCTACCGTTTGCACAGCCGATTCCTCGTCGAATATCATTCGCTCGAAGAGTCGAACCAGCGAGTTTCCCATAACAGTCATTTCCATCGCCGACTTCAGGGCATCCAGTTCACGCAAGAGAACAGCTTGTACGCGTTTCTCTTAAATGGACCAATACCTTTGAAGGAAATTTCTGAAAATTTTGAAGACGGACCATTTCCTTGTACAGCTACTGATTTCCGTAGAAGATGGAATGAATAATAGGACGAGATCGCATCATGGAAGTTTGCTACCTGCAATGTGTATAGGGAAAACCGTTTGTTGTATAACCGTCTTCGCTGTTTACACTGATGACCTTACAGAAAGGTTTGTGTTAGGGCAGGACCTCGATTGATCAAACAGTGGGTGGTGTTCTATGAGCGTATATAGACCCTCTCTCCGAAATAAAATTTAGTCACACCCATAGGGGGCGGGCACGTCGTGGCACTACATCGCCGTAGATGGGACTTTTGGACCGAGATCATCGAGATTATGAGAAAAGGCAGCCAAACGCACTTCCGTCGGTATTTCGAGACTCTGCAAAAAGTAGAATGGTATCTGGGAGGGTTCCGGAATTCCACAAAGCCCATCGACGAGCTCATCGATCAGATCGGTCCAACATCTGCAGAAAAGCTTATTAATGATTCGAAATATTTTTGAATGAAAAAACATCTTACTTTGGAAGATCGTGGGAATCCTCTAGAAAGCGCTGATTATTCTTTTTGAAATCTTCTAGCGGGTAAAACCGCAAGTAATGACGCCGAAATCGAAAAAGCGTTTGTACAAACGATAGAAACATCTTTTCGGCTTCTGTGGTGAACTTCATTTTCTGAAAACGAGAGGAAGCATGGCAGTGGTTCTGAGGAGTACGTGCAGGAGTTGTTATCGAAGTTAGGTAACTAGCAAAAATAAGTAAAAAATTGAAATTGCCACTAAAAGCTGGAAGGAAAGTCCTGCCGAGTCCAGTGCCAGCGGGCAACCCAAGCGGAAG